TTGGGAGGGCTAGGTAGAAACATTGAGTTTACGCTTTTAATTCATTAGGTATAAGGAGTCGGTGTTTCTTATTTCGCACACAAAATTTTAAAAGGCAATTAAGCACCAAAATGTCCTTTATTGTGACAAAGCAAATTGAAGTATCAATGTAAAATATAACTATATATATTGTTAATCCTGAACAAGAAAGGTTTTGGTGATGAGTATGATAATTTTTAAAATAAACAGGTGCCACGATTTCCCTCTGGTCATTTCCATTGACAGGTCTATCTATTTCTTCTTCCGACTATCACCTTCATCAGCTGCAGCCGGATAAGTGAGGTCGATTATACCATAAATTTAAAATAAGGATTTTATAGCTGAAACTGATATTTATTCGCGTGACCATTGGGAGTTGCCATCTCACGCTGGATTGTTTTGACTAGAATTTGTTGTTTTATTGTTTTTGGTATTTTAATGTAAACTGGCTGCTTTTATCACCAAATGGTAGTCACATTATAATCCTTTAAATCTAGTATACATCTCGGTTTAAATATTTGCCAAAGTAATAGTTAACTTTTATTTTTTAAATATAGAAAATAGGGGTCACCGGAAAAGGTTTCCTGCAGAGGTAAAAATAATTTTCTTGATATTTTGTACGAATCTGTTTTTCGAATCGTGATTTGTTACGTCATACTTTAAACTCTAAACATAGCACCTGTTACAGTTTTATGATATTTCGAATATAATAACTTTGCACTCAAACACATTTGCTGTATAAATAAATAAAGTTTTTTAATATAAAAACAAGAGCGGTTTAGTTTGCAACTCTTGGTTAAATTTTAAGGACCTCGATCGATCGATTGGCCTAGTAAACAATAACGCATGTGTCAATTCATTTCAGAAAAAGACATTTTAAAAGTAGAACACTTTTTGCTACTTCACCTCATTCATGTTAGACATTAATTCAATTAATAGACAGATAAAGAAATTAACAAAAGAACCACCAACATGTCGTATATAACATGTCTAAATGTGTATTGGGCAAAACTAGATGACTGATGAGATGATAGCTCGTAAAATCTGCAGGCTTAAGTGGCAATGGGCTTGCCACGTTGCTCGAAGGACGGACGGCCAAGGGGCCCGAAAAGTACTCAAGTGGCAACCACGAACCGGAACACGTAGCGAGGTTATACTTCTAGTTAGGTGGACCGACGATACGTCGAGACGTCAGAGTCAATGGATGCAAATGGCAGTGATTGTTCGACGTAGAAGACTGAGATTGAGGCCTTTGTTCAGCAGAGGATGTCTTCCGGCTGAAGAAGCTGATTATTTGATTTCGGAGATTTCGTTCAGGTGCAAATCAAGAGCTAAACTTACTCGACACGATATCTTGGATTTCAACCTATAGGAAATTATATATACCCTCAAACAGAGAATAAGAATCCTTCAGAAAAACTTCAAGTACCATAGACCATACATCACTGCAAGTTATATAGAAGAGCAAGCTTGTACAAGGATTTGGGACTAGCCGCCATAGTTAAGTACTTTCCCTCACACAATGACCTATCTAATGGCTAACAATTGATAGATATTTGATTCGAGTATCAAAATGGCCATTCTTCATTATTTTTTCCATAAACAGCAAATACGAACGAATCAGAGTTTTAATTGTAAGTAATAACGTGACTGTCTGGTTTGTGTAAAATTAATACCAGCGATACTATATAACCAGGCTTAACCTGGAAAAGACCATAAAATTATAAATGGATCGTTCTCTGATGAATCGGAACTATGCGTTCAAACTCCGGGACATTGTCTTCCAAACTACTCACACTCAACATTTTTTTAAGCGACAGAAACAATGTGGGTGAAACTTGTTATGAATATGATTCAATATAAGGATATTTTTTATTGTAAGCCCCTATTTATCGATTTGGATAAAATTCGGTGCATCGCATTTTTGACAACAAAGTTTTGTTCCTGGAAAACGCGAGTCTGATACGTGTTTAGGTAAAGCCGGCCAACCTGTTTATTTTATAAACGTCGGCGCAAATTCTATAGAAGCATGAACTATATATAGTTCACAAGTTACGGACAGAATATTATTTCAATTCCGGAGTCTTTAACAATCGCAAAATGAAGAAAAGAATTATTACTGAATCGATTTTGACGAAATTTAACTAAGCCATAGTCCGTTTTTGAAAATTTTTGTTTGCTTAAAGTCAAAATTTGCCTATTTGACCTAACTAATCCGTCCGGGCAAGATATTGTTTGACGTTTCATACCAATGTTTGGTCAAAGGTACCAATATCCTGATGCATTCATTAAGCTTTTACCCTATGTAGTGGGTCATTTTATTAAGGTAAGTACTATCTGACCGTTTGACCTTGACACAGTATGGTTTACAAGTGGTCACAAGTAGACAGTCACATGTTAGTCTACTTGTGTCCGTCAAGCCTACCAAGGTATTTAAATAATTATTTGCCACGATAATCTTGCGTAACTCTATATGTTGTAAATATGAAACGCGAAAGTTTAAAAGTTAATATAGTATGGTGGTTTCCGATAATAGACAACAAAAACTTTTGATTAGTCCTTTTCTGATTGGTTTGCGTTTTTGCGATTCATCTAATTGTTTAATCTCATAGGCGGGAATCATGGACCGCTACCTAATACCATTTCTATTTATTTGTTAAGCTTTTGTAATAGTGATCCATCTGGTCTTTCAGCAAGCTTGATAGAGGGAACTCCAACTCTGGCCTTTTTCGAAAACAGAGGCCTTCCCGACAAGGTGTTTTACACCAATCTTACTGAGATTGCAATAATACCCCTCATATACTTTTCATTTCTACCAACCAATTTTTTATCAGTTCATACTTAACCACTGTTCTATTGAAAATCAAAACTGATTATTCATATAGCATGTACAGGTGTAAATTGTTACGCAACACATTTGTCATCAGTTTACATTTTCTCTTGTAAATATGACTGTCTGTCTTATTACAGATAGAACATGGACACCTATGGAGACTGTACACAAATTTATTTCACTTCCTTAAAAACTTAGCACTTTTAATTGTCTTCCTGAATAGGTGCAGCTCATCTCTTTACAAAGAAAGGTCTTCTCCAGATCAACGTCATCATAATGCAGTTTCTTTTCCAGAAGTTCTCGATTCCGATCCGATCCTAAACAGCAGATGTGATTCGTATATCTCCTCTTATATCTGAAACTTATCTGCCAGTTATCGGTCACTCCTTTCTATGGTAGTCTCTTGAGTTTTTTCTTCAGGAATTCCTGTTGCTTCTCCTCTGCCTATAGGTAGGTACTGTATATTGTTATAATGTTTAAATAAAAGAGAAATCCCTTTATATAAAATTAAATTAAATTTCTAAAGGATTGAAGTGGTCAAGAAATTTACATTTTGCGAGTGTTTGGGTACAAAAAATATACGTTGCGAGACAGTGATTTAAATTCATTTGTATCGTCAGTAGTAAGTACAGTTTAGGATTTCAATTAATAACAGACTGTAAAATGGGACGATACCTTGTGGACATAGTTACAAACTAGCTGACCCGGCAAACGAGTTTTGGCATTATAATAATTTTGAGGAATATAATTTAACGGTAAATAACCCCTATCACTTAGGGGTAAAAGAGGCAGAGGCCGATTCTTAGACCTACTGAAAATATATTTGGTAAAAATCAGTTAAGCAGTTTCGGAGGAGTAAGGTAGGTAACTGACATGGTGACACGATAATTTTATTTAAAAGAAACCGTTTTTGGTTTGTCGTTTAGTATCGACCTACAGCTGTCATGTCTCCCTTAACTAGTAGGTCCTTGTGGTTGGAGCTAATGCTATCGTTAAAATGCACCAAGGGATGCTATTTGTGCAGTTGAAGTTATATATCTCTGCACAACTCGCCATTCATCCAATGCATGCAAATACAAATCAAATCAGCGTGTCAATAAGTTTAATCATAACCTTTCCCTATTAGTTCGTGCTTCGGCCCTTGAAGTTCATTTTTTAATATTCCTAACGATTCTAAAATGTTCTTCTTTGCTTCGTTTTGGAAGCGTAAAAGCATGGGTGAATGGATCTCGATTTTTTAAAGGTCCTAACTTGTAATAAGGATTTTTTTTTTGACTACAAAATAGATTTTAGTTTTGTCTAAAAAAATTGGATTCGTTACAAATCAGGGTATCCTAAAAAAATGTTTTCTCCTATAGTTAATATACACGCTCTATATTTTATCAGTCGTCTTTGTCCGTGGCTGTTGCTTGACACACCTCTGATTACTATCAGATACTTACCGAACCACTCACCTTATTTCCAGTACACAGTTCCCTTCCTTCCTTTAGAATGTCTCCATAAGTGAAGTAAGTTTCTACGTAGCTACGATCGTTATGAATTTCCGAAGTCAAGAGAAATCCAAAGATATTTGTGGAACATTTTGTGTCATGTAGTGTGTACCTACTTATACGTCTCTGTGTTTTATCATTGTATTATTTAGAAATAAAAACAGTATTTTATGTCGATGCTAATAAATTATATAAATTCAAATAATATTTTAAGGAATTAATTGAAAAAATCTAAATATAAAGCTCGTACCAACAAACTGGCAATATAAAAAATAATCTTTAAAAATAAAATAGTTAATCAACTGTTTAGTGACAACAGTAACAAAAAAACCACGTGACTAATTAAATCACAACTGAGATTTGAATAGCATGAAGAAAGAGAATAGAAGTTTAGATAGAGTTGTGCCAGTTGGATGAAAAAAAGCAACCAAAGCGACCTCGCTATCCATCATAGGTGTATGCACCATACGACAGCATACACACTTTTTGTCTGAATAGTGTTAGCTTCAATTTATCTGATGGATAACAGGCTCTGGGTGTAAGTGCGTCGTGTTTAATGTAAGATGATTGTCACTCTATTCTACCTACGACTATAACGAGCGGTTCACACTTGAAAGTACTGAAGATAGTTTTGTTGTGTATAGAATAATGCGAAATTATTATTAATTTATAGCATTTATTAAACAGATTTCACATAAAGGTAACATACAAAATTTTACGTCATAAATATATTATTATTATTAAAATAGTCTAAGAATTCATTTAGTCATAAAATACTGCCACGCCTAATAACTTAATACAATTAGGTGAAACATACAACACAATTTTTAATTTTAACAATATCGTGCACTTAAAACAAACTAAGTTAAAGATCACTGTAACGTTAAACTATAAAATCTCATTCAATTTGGATTTGTACTTGCAAAAATTAGGTGATCAATATCGGCAGTGTTGTCAAAACATAGAAACTGGCAAGGCACGTGCGTACTTTAGGTAGAGTGGTGAGTCGCAGGGTGAGCGACTTAGTACACTAACTTTATGTTTCTTTGTCATAGAAGAGTTGACAGCGGATCTAAAGGCATGGCGAGATAAACAACCACGATTAACTTTGTGGCCCGCGAAAACGACCCTCCCCCTCCCATCCAGTGCCCGTAATGGGTCACTCACTATCGGAAACCTTGACATAGACTTTACCCTACGATACGCCATGACACTGACAAAGTTAGTCGTAGCTGTTAGGTTACATCAGGTGAGGGCACGGGCGCGCACCCCACGTGCATCATTGTTAGCTGTGATTTACTTAAGAGTAATGCCAAAAATCTAAATCGGACGGTACAAACAGTGATACATGCTTAGACAAGGTTAAACATTGAAACCGGGACTAATTTTGGTATCGACATGTTATTCGACATATTTCAAAATAAATAGTGAAAAACTACGTACTAAGTCCGAGTTTCAATAACTATCTCATAATGTGAAATTCATATGAAATGACCTTTATAATAGACAAACAATATCAAGATCATTTTCATAAGATTCACAAGTCAGTCAGGCATTTCGTTAAAATCACTAAACGAGTTATTTGAATATCCGCTGTAAATAGAATAAGTGACGTTCAATAGACATGTATTTAAGCGGATGTAGATATTGTTGAACTCGATAGTGAGTTTATACAGAATAGCTGAACAGATCTCAACACAAAAAGCATCAAAAGTTTTAACTGATTATGGTTAATAAGGCCAAATAAATAATTCATTAACTATAGCAGGCTTATAATAAATTATTATGAATGAGTATTGGGTGAAAAATACATTTGATGTTTTATCGAAGACGCGTCTTTTTTAAGTATAACGCAATGTATTCTAATATACAGTAGAATCGGTCAAAGTATACATTTACATTTAGTAAACATCGTAGCGGTAAAAGCAAAACAAAACAGTCGTAAAATGTCTCGTGTTCATGTTAATCACAGTTACGTGTGTCCAACTATATCGAAGCTCCTTGCCGTCGCTCGATGATCTTCATTGGTCGCCTGCCTCTTGGTAAGACTAGACTATGTACACAAAAAGCTTAAATATACAGCGATGTTAGATGCGGAAATTCGCCCAAATAGTACTACGAGTTAAATTTACAATCGAATCGATTTGCATTTATGTTAGATTTTGCATGTGCTGCTCTGTCCTCATAACACAACGGCGAACTTTTGTTATTCTGGTATGAAAGAAAAGTCTTAAACATAGAAATATTTTATACATTAATGTACCCAAATAAATTATGGAATCGATTTATAAATCGTGAGCATGCTCGTTATTTTTTCAACGCACTCTTTTCTCAAAAAGGGCTTTTCGTTCATTCTTTGCCAGCACAGTTTGTGTCCTAGATATAACGTGCATTAATTACTGGGTAAGGTTGGTAAATAAGTTTACAACACACTACTTTATGAAAGTTCAGTTAAGTATGAACACAAACAAGTTTTTTAGTTAATTATATCGTTTACTTCTGTAGATAAATTATGTATAGGAAAGTGATACTCATGGTCTTAAAACTTGGCCTTTTCAGTCTCTAAGGTCAAATGTTTTTCAAATTGAAATAAGGTAAAAGGAGGTTGTATACTATATTTACAAATGCAGGCAATATCTTAAACAATGTTCTCTTTTATACCATGATAAAACAAGTTCACCGCTATGGTTTTGCGGCAAAGCTACACACATCAAATGTGCATTATATATAATAATTCGCGCGAACTATAATTTATAAGGTGAAGACTTTTTACAAGTAACCTAAACTCAAATCATTTGTGTCATATTGTCAAGATGGTGATCGTGGGGGTGTGTTTAAGCGGACGTAAGTCGTTATTGCGGTAACCGCTACGATTTTAAAGCCATATAATTTATTTTATCCTCGCATGTCAACTTTCTGAGTTTAACTTTATATAGTAGTTTTCACCCGATCTCAAAGTGATATAAAGATGAAACAAAGAAACACTACATTAATGGATTAAAAGTGCGCGACGCGAGCTCGCTGCCTGTATCTATGTCTTACTTTTGACGACTAGTTTTGCCGAAGTCTCGACTTGGCCGGCGGCGGTCGTTGCCCGACAGGTGAAGGTGCCTGTGTCTTCCTCGTACGTGTTTCCGATCAGCAGCACAGCGTTGTTTCCTTCGTGGATCATCTGCGATCAAAAAATATGTTTCTTTACTATCTAATCTATATTTACCTCCTGACTATTATTATCTATTTCGATTGCAGATGGAAGGCTGAAAATATAGCTGTTTTAAAATAGCTCACCTGGAAATCTGGGGTTTCAGGTATAAGAGCACCTTCTCGAAGCCATTGAATAGTCGGCTTGACTTTGCTTGTTATATGAGTTTTGAATTGGGCAGGTTGACCTTCGTAGACAACTAGATCTCGGAGAGGTGTTAAAGTTGGTAAATTCTCGGCCTGATCCGGTTGAGTCACTTTTAGTTTTGCGGCTACAGTTACACGGCCAGCCGAGTTATAAGCAACGCATTTGTAATCACCCTCATCTTCGGGGAAAGCTTCAGATATACGAAGCGTGTACTCATCAGCTGTTCGAGACATTTGGAAGTACTTAGAAGGTTTGATCAGTTTCTCCCCTTTGTACCATTGCACTGTTGGGGCTGGCTTTCCAACAATCTTACAACTGAATTCAATTGCTTGACCCTCGGTAACAATCTTATCTTTCAATGGCTCAATAATCTCAGGAGGCGCATTAGTGGCTTTAGTTTGAGGTTTTGGTTTTTCTTTGGTAGCAGGAGCATTAACAGAACACTCAGCGTCACATCGTGCTTCTCCAGCGCTGTTAATAGCAACACATTCATATTTTCCCGAATCTTGAGGATAAGCTTCGAGAATTAGAAGAGTATACGTGCCGTCTTCTTCTAGAATCTTATTTCTTATGTCTGGTTGGACTTTTTTACCATTCTTAAGCCAATAAACATCAATAGGCTTTGTCCCAGTTACTTTTGTATCAAATCGTACCAGTTGACCAGCTGTCACATTAACATTTTGGGCAGTTAATGTAAAACTGGGCGGAGCAACACCTCCTCTTCCCTGGCGCCTGCGCTCCTCGACCACTAAATTAGCGCTACATTTTGCAGTTCCACCACGATTCTCAGCTACTGCAGCAAAAACGGCAGAATCTTCGATAAAGACTTGCCTAATTATCAGAATTGATTTAGTGCTGAAAGTGTGAATCTGGAAGTCTGCAGAATTTTTAATCGGGAAATTCTCTCTGTACCATTTAATTGTTGGTAACGGGTCACCATCAAACTCAACCTCGAATCTGGCTTGTTCATGCTCAAACACTCGGCAGGGTTGCATTTTTTTGGTGAAAACTGGAGGTTGACTAGGTTTCACGGGTCCTTCCACGACTCTTTCTTGCGTTTGAGCCTTGTGTTCCATTTCAGTTGTCTCAGTAGAAGTTATTTTACGAGTAATTTCAGTATCTCCTACTACTTCCTTCTGAATTTGTTTCTGTTTAGCAACATGTACTTCTTTGCCGTGAACGGTAGATTCAGAAGGTCCTGGTATTTTGGGTTTTGCTACAGTCTTCTTCTGTACTTGTTCAGCAGAAACTTCAGTTTGTTCTCTGTAAAGTAAAAATGAAGGTTTATTTTTACTTTATACATACTCGAAAAATTACGTTGGTGCAGAGTTCTCGAGCATGAGGTTTCAAAACCTCACAAGTACCAATGTGACTTTTTCCTAGATAGTAGGTTAGTAGGTACTTTTTTACACACATTCGATAAAAGTTGGATGTCACCAGTCAATCTTGCAATTTGCCTTACCTATACCAAAACTGGTATCACATGTGTATAGTCAGACCAATTTTGGTAATTAGTTTTTTGCTGTGTTAATATATGTTTTTATATAGCATGTAGTATCTTAACGTTACGTATACAAAGAAAAAGTGTAAGTTCCCTAGTTTAATATAAAGATAAAACGACTTACAAAGTGTCCTCATATTTCTGAGCCATGCCTTTAGCAAGAGAACTGCTGGTGATTTTTTCTCCAGGGATTGCATATTGGTGAGTTGACTCTCTGAAGCGACTTTCCTTAATAACTTGTTCATTTTCTAATTCCTGTAGTTTGTTGTAGTACTCTTCGCTCTTCTTCTTCTTAACTGTTTGCTGCCATTCTGTTTCGGGTTCTTTAATTACTTTGGGTTTTAACTCAGGCCTGTGATCAATAACACCTTGTCTCTGCAACACTTGTCTTTCTTCAAATGTTTTCTCCAGCTCAGTTTCAGAGCGCTGATATTGCGTTGTTTCATCATACCATGCTGTGGAAACGCGTAAGAAATTAATACAACATTTTCTAAAAAAGAAGTAAGAAAAATAAAGACATACCTCTCCCAGAATCCGTTGGCAAAGCTGGCAGAAGCAATTCATTTAGCTGCACTCCTCTTGGATAAAGTGAGGAAAGGTAATAGGAAGCTGGGGGGGTACTTTTGTGCTTAAGCAGTTTGTCAATGTGTGCGTAGTTTGGTAATGTATGTTAGGGCAGTTCATAAGCTGTACTAATGTGTAAATCAAAACACTTTTATTTTTATTAAGATAGTTAACTGCATAGAAAAGCGTCATTTTGTCACCCTGTTTTATTATAACATCATAATTAAACTTACGTCGTGGAGCATTCTTCAAAACACCTCTGTAGTCGTCATGTCTCGGAATTACTTTTAGTTCCGTCGAAGCTAACGCTTCGCCAGCTGAACTTCTGGCGATAACCTCAATTTTACCAGTATCGTATTGTCTGGTTTTGGGTATGTCAAAGTGGTACATTCCATCGTATGTCAATTTGTATCGAGAACCCTGTAATGATTTTGAATATGTACATTATTTATTATTTTATCAAAGTAAATAGTATTCAGTATGATAAAAGTAAGTATTCTTAAGATAATTACATTAACAATGGTGTTGCCGTTGATAAGCCACATCACTCGAGGCTTAGGATGTCCAGTGACACGACAGCAGAAGCGAGCCCACTCGCCTTCTTCAACAGTTACTGGTTCTGGACGGCTTACGAAAACAGGTGGTGATCTAGCTTTAGATTCTTCTGGCGCTTGTTCAGGAACCCTAAAAGAATATTTTTCTATTTAGTTACACTATCTCACAATTTATATACAGAAAACAAATTATTGATTGTATCGATTAGAAATAAACCGTTTTTTTATAAACTCACGTTTGCCATGCAGCTTCCATTTCTCTTATCTTTTCTATACTCTTCATATGTTTGGGCAATTGAGAGTCGTAGACAATACCCGGTTTACCAGCTGTCTTTATAATTGCCCGAGTTTCATCCATACCGTACAAGTTGGTAGCTCGGCAAAGATATTCACCGCTATCTTCGGGATAAACCCAGCCAAAGTTCATCGCCACATATCCGAAGTCATAAATCGGTGTGAAACGGTTCTCTGAAATATAAAACAAAAAGTAATTAAGTACCCATCCGCATTATTTGTGTTCTAGGTGGTCCTATATAAAAATAACAACTCACTGTGCAACAAAGGCTTTCCATTGAAAAACCATTCCACTTTCATATTAGGGTCACCAACTGGTGCCAACTGACATTCAAACTTTGTAGATTCCATTTCTACTAAAGTGGTTTGACTTTCAATTTGTGTGACGAAACGTGGTGGTTGTTTCTTATCAGCATCATACAGGTCATCTTCAGTCAAAAAGATTTCGGAAGTGTATTTCTTAATCGTAGCTTCCATTTGGGTCAAAGCTTCAGATTTCTTCATACCTCGTGGCACTTGGTTTTGCAGGATAATGTCTGGCAGTTCTATAAAATTAAAAAACGATAAATAGTTACATTGATACACTAAAATAATTTAAATACATAAAATGACATGTATCATGTTCACTGCATCATATCTGAAGCAAAATTGAGCAGAAAATATTCAAATTTTTCCTCTCTATACATAATATTGATTAAATAATTCAGTTAAATCCTCCGCTCTCTTTTAATTAAAAAAAAAGAAAAAACATACAGATAATTATTTTCAAAGAGATAATGATTTATACTTACGTTTACATGATACTGTTGCCTTGGTAAAATCTTCGCCGATATCGTTCACTGCACGGCAAACATATTCACCAGAATCTTCAGCATAAACGTACAATATGTCCAATGAAACGAATCCCATATCGTAAACTGTACGGTACCTATGACCAGAAGGTAAAAGTTTTCCATTGCGGTACCACTCAATACGTAATTTTGGATCTTCTTTAGGTTCCACACGACATTCAAATCGTACGCTTTCCGATTCCTCAACCGTGTGCGATTGAATCTGAGTAATGAACTTAGGTGGAGTGTTTATAACAGGTTCTTCCTTTGGCGCGTCACTAATACGTCCTCTCTCAAGTTCTTTGATTTTCTCTCCGCTCATACCCTGTGGTAGCTGAGATTCCAATACAATGTCGCGCTTAGCACTGCAGGTTATCTTTGCCGTAGTTGTTGCAGAGCCCCATTTGTTGGTAGCGCGGCAAACATACTCTCCAGCGTCACGGGCATATATGTAATCAATGTCCAAAGCAATAAAGCCAAAATCATTGAGCATATGTACTCTAGATCCGGTAGCGAATGGTCTGCCATTGTGGAACCAGTCAATTCTCATAGTTGGGTCACCAACTGGCTCTACCCGGCAATCAAAGTGAATAGGACCACCTTCAACAACATCAAGGTTGTCCTTAATTTCTACTGTGAATTTAGGTGGGTTAGGTTTTTCATCTTCTATTGTAATTTCTTCACGCTTGTGCAAGGTTTCTTCTAATTTCTGGATGCTTTCGGTACCAGATTTGAAGTGAGATGGCAATTGTGGTTCCAAAATAATACCTTGTCTTCCCTTCACTTGCAATTTGCATGAAACTGTCGCTTCTCCGTGTCGGTTAGTGGCCTTGCAAGTGTAAAGACCTGCGTCCCGTTGATATACACCAGCTATTTCTAATATAACAAAACCGAAGTCATTGATGGTCTTGACTCTAGATCCAGTCAAAAGTGGCTTGCCGTTATGGAACCATTCAACTCTCATGCTCGAATCATTAATAGGAATGAGACGACACTCAAAGTGAGCCGATGAGTTTTCTGATAGAATCAAATCAGAAGGAGTTGTAGTGAATTCTGGTGGATTGCCAGTCTCAGCTTCTGGAGTCATGGAATCGACTGTGCCTGTGTATCCCTCCAGAGCAGCAATTTTATCAATGGTGCCCTCCATACCTTTAGGCAACTGTGACTCCAAAATAATATTTCGTTTACCTTGTACTTTCATGGTAGCTGTTGTTACAGCCTCTCCATAGTTATTATATGCCCTGCATAGATATTCACCAGAGTCTTCAGGGTATGTCGGCGATATTTCAAGAATTACAAATCCAAAGTCACAGAATGTTCTGAATCTGGAGCCTGCTTTGAGAGATTTACCATTCCAGTACCACTCGACCTAAAATAAAAAACAAATTTAAGTAATGTCAGTTATGTAGCTACCTACATTAAAATGTGTATTGTGTACTCTGGTAGTATATCAATTAAATAAGAGACTTCTAAAGTAATTGAGTCGAATATTTTTTTGGAATTATAATATTTTGTCATAGTATTATAATATTTATAAATAACATTACGTCAATTTAATTTCTGAAGAGTAAGACATTTCGTAACACCCATTTTTCACTACTTATATATTACATCCTTATATCATTAGTCCTATATAATAAGTGAGACTATTGCCATAACATGATAATAATAATATAATAAATAAAATTTATTGAAGAACTCAAAATCTAGAAAGAATACTGGCTGATTATATACCGACAATATTCCAGACTTCAAGTCATTAGTGGGTTTATTCCATAACTGGAAGTCTCGATGGTGCTTTGTCCCTACCCGACAATTTAACCTAATCTAACCTAATTAATCTAACTTATACTATAAATATGTGTAAGTTAATTTACCTTCAAGTTAGGATCATCAGTAGGTGTCAACCTCGCTTCAAAGTGAGAATTTTCTCCTTCCCGCAAATTATCGATGTTTGATAGTGGTACTGTGAATACTGGTGCTTTGCCTCGCTCTTCGTCCTCTTTGACATCTTTTCTGCGTACCATTGAGTCCTCAAGAGTTTGTAGTTTCTCCAATCCACCTTCCATGCCCTAAAAACAGTTTATATTTACATCATCACATGCCCTATTTCTCGAAAGAAAAGCGATTTTTTTTTTGTCATACACCGAGCGCAATTATAGATACTGGTACAAATGTTTCTATGAATCCAACTTGGCCCCTGATACGCTCGACAGCTCACATCCTTGACTATTAAATCAACTAACCGATTTATTAAATTATTTACAAAAAATACATTCGATAGGTTACCCTTATTGTTTTGATTTGCTAAAAGTACTCACCCGCGGTAGTTGCGAGTCCAGGATTAAATTCTCCTTCGAAGTACATTTCAATGTAGCCTTGGTAGAGTCTCGGCCTAATTTGTTCGTGGCCACACATTCGTAGACGCCCGAATTTTCTTCATAGCAGTACAAAATATCCAATATAACAATACCAAAATCGTGGAATGTTCTGTACCTGTGGCCATGCGGTAACTTTTTGCCATTGTAGAACCATTCAACCTTAAGATCAGGGTCGTCAACTGGTACTAATCGTGCTTCGAAATGTGCACTTTGGCCTTCCACTAATTTAGTAACATCTTGAATTTGAGTAATGAACTTTGGTGGTACAGCAGATGCAGGTGCAGGCGCTTGCTGTTGACTACCTTGTAAACTTTCTAATTCTCTGATCTTAGCTAAAGAATCAGGCTGCAGACTGTCAAGATAAACTCCGCTTCTTCCAAAGCATGTTATTGTAGCCTTAGTGAAGTCTTCGCCATATTTATTATAAGCTCGGCAAACATATTCTCCTGTGTCATGATTTTGGGTGTAAGCTATATCTAGCACTACAAATCCAAAGTCAGAAACCATTTTGATTCTATTTGAGTGACGTAATGGTTGACCATTATGATACCACTCAATTTTCAAATCAGGGTCATCGACAGGTACAACAGTACATTCAAAGTGAGCTGATTGGCCATCTTTCAAACCTTCAACATTTTGAATATGTGTAGTAAATCTTGGTTTCTGTCCTTTGCTCTTATCAACACATTCTAATTTGACACTTATTTCAGCCTGTCCCCATCTATTTGTAGCTCTACAAGAGTACACACCAGAATCGGTTGTTTTAGTTCCAAGTATTTCTAGTACTACCATACCAAATGCGTAAACAGTACGGATACGGTGACTAGCTTCAATTGTTTTTCCGTTATAGAACCACTCGATAACCATACTTTGATCACCGGTAGGTATAAGAGATGCTTCATAGTGAGCTATTTGTCCCTCACTAATGTCAACGATATCCTCGAAAACAGTAACGAATTCCGGAGGCCGGCCTGTGTCATCATCAGGTGCCTGGCCTGGTTCTCTACGAAGGGAATCTTCAAGGTTTTGAATCTTTTCCAATCCCTCAGTACCTTTAGGATGTTGTGTCCTTTCAATAAGGTTTTCTTTGCTGGTACAGAATATTGTTGACGATGTAAATGCTTCACCCTTCTTATTGTAAGCCTTACATGTGTATATTCCACTATCTCTTTCATAAACATCAGTCACATCTAATGTTACAAAACCAAAGTCACTTGTAAGCTTAAATCTAGAACCTTGCTCCAAAACCTTTCCATTGAAATACCATTCAATTTTAAGGTTTGGATCGTTTTTAGGTTCAACCTGTCCCTCAAGGTGCAACGCTTGGCCTTCAATCAACTGATGTTCTGGGGCTACTGGTACTACCCACTCTGGTTTGGGGTATTCAACATCGGGTACTGATGTTCTTCTTGATTTCGACAATCTTGCCTCTTCAGCCTGTTCCACAGCTTCCAATCCAGCTTTTCCTTGTGGGTGCTGTGTATCGAAATATATGTTTTTATCACCGGTGCATCTTAGAGAACCAGATGTTGTGGCTGAACCTTTGCTGTTCGTTGCCTTACATGTGTAAATTCCAGAATCTTCTTCATAAGTGTGAGTAATATCTAGAGAAACATAGCTGAAATCGTGTGTGCTCTTGTATCTCGAACCAGATGGCAAGGGTTTATTGTTAAAGAACCATTCTATTTTAAGCGTAGGATCTCTCGATGGTTCCACGTTACATTCAAAGTGAATATTGTCACCTTCTTTACACAGAATATTATTCAGATGTGAAATAAATACAGGAATTTCGTAAACTGGTTCAGGTGCTTCAGGTTTACTTGATTTAGGCTGCTCTAACGCGCCAATCCTGTCTAAAGATTCAGGATGAAGAGTTTCACCAAGTAGCCAGTGGCGATCTTCAACTTTTATAGATGCAGTTGAAACAGCTTCACCCATAAGATTGGTAGCTTTGCAAGTATAAATTCCCGAATCATCAATTCGTACGCTGTTAATAGAAAGAGTTACTAAGCCAAAATCAAATGTACTCTTCAATCTTGACCCGGTAGTTAAAGACATGCCGTTTTTGAACCATTCGATTCTCAAATTAGGATCGGTTCGTGGTTCTACTTGAGCCTCCAAATAAACATGTTGTCCTTCAACAAGTTTGTCGTAGCTCTTAAGATGTGTTGTGAAAATAGGTGCCTGTTGTACTCCGGAGTCAACAAACATTTCTGGTACTTTATTCATAGCAGCCTCCTTCAGTTGTATTTGCTCCCAAGCCTCTGGTCTCATGGCCTGGTCAACAATGGTAGACTTAGTCTTAACCTTTAATGCTGCGGACGACACTGTACTTCCAGCCTTGTTTATAGCCTTGCACATGTAAAGACCAGCGTCTTCAGCTACAACTGAATTGATGTCTAGTGTTACAAATCCGAAATCATGAGTTGTGCGGAATCTCGAACCTGTGAAAAACAATATGAATGAATAATATGTTATACTAAATTGTTCTTATCAACCGAGCATTAATGTTCATAAAAAAACTCTACAATAAATTTATTAACCACTGATTTCAACTATGAGCTTACCCATCTTAAGTTCCACTCCATTAATGTACCACTCGAATCGTAAGCTTGGGTCTCCAACCGGAACAACACGTGCTTCGTAATGAGCGTGTTGGCCTTCCCATAATTCAGAAGGTCCTGTCAGAACCTGAGTAAAGATTGGCTTCTCAAACTCGCGCTCAGGTTCGTCTGGTCTTCTTTGCTGTGGTTGTTCAAGTTGTTGGATTTTCTTCATACCTTCTGGATGTTGTGTGTCCATCTGGATGGCTGCTTTAGCTGAAATTGAACACAGAAATAAGTATAAGTGGCTGCGCTCGCAGGTGTGAAGATGTGCCAGCAGGTCGAAGACTTCTTCGGTTTTCAGAGGCATAGAAGTTTCGAGCTCGATCCAGGTTTTAAATTGCAAGTTCATTATTCGTTGATGAAAAATTGAGGATGACATTGATACGAATAAAAAACCACAAAACTACGCATTTACAATGCAATATAAAATTATTGATTCATTAAGCCTGAACATTCTCGCGATGTATTGAAAATTCGAATGGCACCTGACGATTTTGATGGATATGGTTGTGGTAGTCTCAATCGTCGCTGCTTTAACAATTAGCATAGGTACCATAAACAAACTAATGAGTTGGTAATAAAAACACTTACTTTTTATTCTCATAGCAGCAGTTGTTACAGCTTCTCCTAAAAGATTCGAAGCTCTGCACATGTAAACTCCTTCGTCTTCATCACGAACATGGGTGATAGTCATTGAAACGTATCCGAAGTCGTGAGTTTTTGTTATTCTTGAACTGTCTTCAATAAGTTTTTCGTTCCTGAACCATTCAACTTTCAGTGTTGGGTCTCCGACTGGGATAAGGCGACAGTCAAAGTGCGCTGTTTGACCCTCTTGAATGTTGTCAATGTTTTGGAGAGGTTGTGTAAATACAGGTCTTTGGCGTGTAACAGGTTCCGGGATCTCAGGTCGTTTGAACGGTTCTGCAGATTCTAATTCACGGATTTTTTCCAAGCCTTCTGGACGTTGAGATTCCGATATAATGCTTCCTTTTGCGGTTACTGTCATTGATATCGAAGATGTACATTGTCCTAGAGCATTGATGGCCTTTACTGAATATTCACCAGCATCTTCAGGAACACAATGCTGAATATCTAATGACACGTAACCAAAATCAAAAGTGATATGGAACCGTGCGGCAGATTGCAGGGCTTTGCCGTTATGATAAAATTCAATCCTTAGGTTGGGATCGTGCACGGGCTCTACCTGGCATTCAAAATGAGCTGTTTGGCCCTCGAAGACATGGGTAGTACCCCGTAACTCCGTAACAAATCTAGGTGGACTTATCTTAGGTTCTTCAACTTCCATCCTAGTGTGATGACCTTGTGCTTCAAGCTGTCTTATCTTTTCCAAACCATTTGGATGCTGAGTGTCTAATATTATACTCCTGTGCCCTGTTTTTAAATTAGAAGTTAAATTAGATACTATACATATAATAAATTTTCATTTAGATTTATGTTATAAAAAAATATTTACCTGCAACCTTCAACGTGCATGTGTTAACTGCTTCGCCAAGTTTATTAGTGGCCTTACACATGTATGTGCCCGAATCTTCAGAGTAAGAGTACAGAATATCTAATGCTACGTAACCGAAGTCGTGGGTTGTTCTATACCTGTGACCAGCTCTTATTTTTTGACCATTGAGGAACCATTCAATCTTTAGATCGGGATCATTAATTGGCTCTACTCTGCATTCGAAATGAGCTCGGTCTCCTTCTTTCAAATTTTCCAAACTTGTAAGAGCAGTCAAGAAAACTGGTCTTTGGCCTGGTTGTTCTTCTTGAACTGGTTTAGGTCTCTCATAATTTTCTAATTCTTGAATCTTTCTCAGGCGCTGTTCGTCTAATGTGTCTAAGTAAAGACCCGCTTTAGCTAGAACATTACCAAATATTTTGTTAAACTGCCAGTCACATTAAAATAAACAGAATAAATATATTAAAATAAATAATCTCATAGTTTCTTAGTTGCATTGGATTTCTAAAATCAATGAAAACCTCGTGTTGGGAGGCAGACAAACTTTTTTGGGTAGATTAACTTTATTGACTTACTTTATTTTGGTTTTGTTTATGTTGTAACTTGTTTAAGTACATAATATGATGTACTTACCATCTACTTTCACAGAGCTTGTGGTTACAGCTTCACCAACAGCATTAGTAGCTTTGCACATATACGTGCCGCTATCTTCTGAATAGGCATACAAAATATCTAACGCTACATAACCGAAATCGTATGTAGTCTTAAACCGATGACCTTGTTGGATAGGCCTGCCATTACAGTACCATTCCACACGCATGGTAGGGTCATTCACTGGCGTGAGTGTAGCTTCCAGGTGGACTGGTTTGCCCTCAGAGACCTCTGCATTTTTCAGAGGTTTGCCAAATTGTGGCTTTTCTGCCACAAAGCTCTCATCACGGACTACACGCTTGTATCTACTATCGTCTTCTAGGTACTGAATCTTTTCGAGAGCACTTTCGTGTTGCGTGTCTCTTATAATAGACTCTTTCGCTGCAACATAAAATATAATATAAATAATTGGCAAATAAATAAACAATGTTGTAAAAAATGCTACGCTTTTACTTAAACATTTTTATACTTACACTGCACATTCAGCTTAATAGACGATGTTGCTTGTCCTAAGTTGTTAATAACCTTGCATGTATATTCACCAGAGTCTTCTCCGTACACTGATAATATGTCTAGTGCAGCGAAACCAAAATCGTACGCTGTACGATAGCGGTGCCCACTTTGTAAGACCTTTCCATTGAAGTACCATTCGACACGCATGTTTGGATCGGGATAAGGCTCAATACGGCATTCGTAATGAGCACTTTGACCTTCTACAAGCTTCGATGGTCCATTCAACTGTGTTATGAATCGTGGAGCCTGGTTAACAGCTACTTCCACGTCTTCTCTACGTTGATAGCGAGAAGAATCTTCCAACTGTTGAATTTTTTCTAAAGCACTCTCGTGCTGAGACTCAAGCTGAAGTGAAGCTTTAGCTAAAAAAATAAGCATAAAGTTAGATTTTCTTTATAGAGTGGTATTTATAAGACAGAATAAGTATCTTGGTGTTAGTTTAAAAATAACAGCTAAGTCAACTATCTGAGAAAAGCTCTACTAGTTTCAAGCCATAAAGTGACTCTGTGACACGATTGTCATTTCACAAAAATAGGCCTATCGATTTAATTGATAATAAACTTACATTGTACAAACAGAGTAGATGAAGTAACAGCTTCTCCTAATTCATTGATAGCTCGGCATGTGTATGTGCCAGAATCCTCCGGATTAACGTATTTCATGTTCAAGGCTACGTAGCCGAAATCGTGCATAGTCGTCAAACGATTTGCTGAAAAATAAAAACAAATTTATATATTTTTTTCGGTTTTGATGTATATTTGGTTAGCATTTTGATGTGAGATACTTACAGGCTTCAATGGGAACACCATTACGTAACCACTCCACTCGGAGTTTCGGATCCCCAACAGGTATAAGTCTAGCCTCAAAGTGCGCTGCTTGGTTCTCAGCAACTCTTATATCCTTCATAGGCATAGTAAACACAGGTGCTTGCGTTATAGTTTCATCTTGAGCGCTGTGTCTTTGATATCTAGAAGTATCTTCCAATTGGTTCAATCTTGGAAGAGCACCTTCATGCTGTGATTCTAAATAGATAGATTTCCTAGAATGTACAATAGCAATTCCGGAGGTAACTGCTTCACCAAGAGCATTAATAGCTCGACAAGTGTATGTTCCTGAGTCTTCGGGTAAACAAGACATGATATCTAGAGCAACAAACCCAAAGTTGTTAGTTTCTGTAAATCTTGACCCACTCTTCAAAGGTTTGTTATTATGGTACCATTCTACTTTCATGGTTGGATCAGAAACAGGTATAAGTCGACACTCGAAGTGGGCTCTCTGACCTTCTTTGATTTCAATATTTTTCAATGAAGTTGTAAATATGGGCGCCTGTGTTGTCACTTCATCGACATAATCTGTCCTATGATATTTAGACCTATCTTCCAATACTTGAATTTGGTTGAGACCAGCCTCATTTTGTGTTGCTCTTATTATGTCCGCAGTGCTACGGCAAGTTAATCTGCAACTAACCTCATCTGTGCCAAGTAAATTGACAGCTCTGCATGTGTAAATACCAGAGTCTTCAGCAATTAAATCAATAATGTCCAGTGCGACGTAACCAAAGTCATGAATGGGTCTGAATCTATGACCAATAGTTACAGGCTGTCCATTTTTAAACCATTCTACTTTTAGGTTCGAATCGGTAACTGGTTCAAGTTTGCACTCAAAATGTACATGATGACCTTCAACAACGTTATCAATTGATTTGGGTTTTGTAATAAAGCGTGGTTTTATGTTAATAGATTCATCAACCACCTCGCTCTTCTTGTAACGTGAGGCATCTTCCAAGTATTGAATTTTCTCGAGGCCCGAGGGGTGTTGAGATTCGAATATAAGATCCTTTTTAGCAATAACACGCAAAGCACACGATGTTACTGCTTCACCTAGTTGATTTGTAGCTTGGCATGTATAAACACCAGAATCTTCTGGATAGACACTTAATAAATCTAGAGCCACGTAATCGAACTCGTAAGCTGGCCTAAACCTGTGTCCTGTTTTGATTGGCCTTCCGTTACAGAACCATTCTACTTTCATGGCTGGATCACCAACAGGCTGTAGTCTACATTCCAAATGTACATTAGTTCCTTCCACAGTCTCAATATTATGTAGAGCTCTTGAAAACTGAGGTGCCTGCCTGACTGTTATATCTTCATGCACTTGGCGCGATCTACGTGCCGCGTCTTCCAGCATTTGTATTTGTTCGACAGCTTGTTCATTTTGAGTGTCAGTCAAAATATCCGATCGCTCAATAACACGGACCATAGCAGAAGTGTGAGCGGAACCTAAGTGGTTAACAGCGCGAACTGTGTATTCTCCAGAATCTGTGGATGTAGCATGGATAATATCCAGTGCAACAAATCCAAAATCATAGTAAGTCCTAAACCTGGAGCCAACTGTTACAGCTCTGCCATTGTGGAACCATTCAACACGCATGGTCGGATCACCCATTGGTTCCAACCTGCACTCTAAGTGAATATTTTTGCCTTCAGATATTGGGGCTGGATCGGATAATGGCTGTACGAATACCGGTTTCGACTTAGAAATTTCTTCTATTTCGTACATGGGCTCGACAAATTTGGATTCTTCAATATGCCGAGTTTTTTCATATAGGCCACGGTGAATACTTGATGTATCAATACTTGAACGTGCTGAAAAAAACCATGAATTTAACTTCTGTAAACAAATTTGCTAACCCTAAATATCAATATCTAAAAAATATCTAGCTACTAAGATCTTAATTTACTAAATAAATACTTACTTTCGACAGTCATTGAAGCACTCAATTGAGCTTCTCCAGCTGCATTGCGAGCTACAACTGTGTAAACACCGGTGTCATCGGAGCGGACACTAGCGATATCCAACGCTACATACCCAAAATCATGGTATGTCTGAATACGATTGGCACTCTTGATTTGTTTTCCATTGAAGTACCACTCTACAGTCATAGTCAAATCACTCTGTGGTTCAACTCTTGCTTCAAAGTGAGCACTTTGTCCTTCTACTATTTTATTAGTGCCCTTAAGTGGTCCCAAAAATCGAGGCTTTTGCGTAACCTTCACTTCCTCTTCTGCGCGTCTTGAATATCTAGTAGAATCTTCAAGGTGTTGAATTTTCTCATATCCTCCTGGATGCTGCGATTCCGCAATTATATCTTTCCTGGTCACAATGGTAAGATTGGCGCTAGTGGTAGCCTGGCCCAAAGCATTATAGGCTCGGCAAGTGTAGTGACCAGCATCATGTATGGTTACGGATTTTATAGTCAATGCTACGTATCCAAAGTTGAAGAATGTAGTAATTCTGGAACTAGCTTCTACAGGACGTCCATCTTTTAACCATTCCACTCTCAAAGTTGAATCGCCTACTGGTTCAAGGCGAGCTTCAAAATGAGCAAACCCACCTTCTTTAATATTTATCTGATCTTTGATTGGTGTTTTGAACTCAGGTCGCTGCGTACTCTCAGGAGCTTCCTGATAATACTTTTGATGTTGCTGTTGTTGATATGCTTCCAATTGCTCAGTCTTTTCAATGTATCGTCGCTGTTCTGGTATACCAAGATCTGCTGTAACTGTACTCCTGGCAGCTACTCTGATAGAAGCAGTACTAATGGCTTCCCCTAATTTATTTACAGCTCTCACTGTGTACGAACCTGCATCTTCAGCCCGTAGGTGCATGATGTTAAGGGAGACGTAACCGAAGTTGAAGATTGACGTGATTCGCGAGCTAGCTGTAATTGGTCTGCCATCTTTGTACCACTCTACTCTCATCGTAGGGTCACTGACAGGAGTCAGTTGTGCTTCAAAATGAGCATTTCTGCCTTCTTGTAATTCACCAAGTTCTTGCAATGGCCTAATAAATTGAGGCCTCTGTGAAATTTGTTCTTCTATTGACTCTTGATGTTGATACCTCGAATAATCCTCCAACTGTTGGATGTATTGCAAACTTTCTGGATGTTGACTCGTTCTTTCAATAGTTGCTCGTGGAGTTACTTGTAGCACAGCTTTAGTTTCCGCAACACCCGTCGCACTAATAGCTCTGCAAGTGTATTCTCCACTATCTTGAATGTTTAGACTGAGCATATCAAGAGAAATATATCCAAAGCGGAATATGGATGTAAACCTAGAACCTGCAACAAATTAAATAATATTATAACATTTTATCTTTTTACCTTAGTGGATTGCCCTGAGCTCTACATAGCTCTATAAACCCGGCTCACACACTAAATATGTAGGTATATACCCAGCGAATTCCGGACAAGGTGCACATCACATTTGTAATGAGCGCTGATAAAAGCTGCCTCGTTTAAGTAGGTCAGAAATACGTTTGACGAGCTCAAGTTCGATGCTAGCGTCGAATAAAGTATTATTTGTAAAAGAACCATTTTTTTACGAAGTAATAACAAGTTCAAAAAATTATCTTGCTCCGCGTCTGGCATTAGGACCGTTGTCGGCAGCAAACTTTATTACGTGGAGCTCATAACTGGTAAGAAATGGTTGTACGGTTCATGTGTAACATTATAGAGGCATTAAATTTAATTAAAATGAATTACTTGCGCCACTGCCTACCTATCCCATCAGGGATATAAGGCGTGAGGTTATAAAAAAATACTTACTGGCTTCGATACTTTGTCCATTTTTCAACCATTCGATTTTCATCGTTGGGTCGCCGACAGGTTCTATCCTCGTTTCAAAGTGAATTTTGCCACCTTCCATCTGTGAAATACTCTTGAGTGGCACAATAAACTGCGGCGGAGGATAAACTCGATCTTCCTCACCTGGAGGAATGTAAGGTCGTGCCCTTTCCACGTGCCTCAAGTAAATGATTTCAGGTCCAGGCGCAGGCCTGTAAAATACGAAATTCAAATTTAAAGTATGTTTTTACCTCACATACAAAAATATAAATCACTAAATATTAAAAAAATACTCACTCTGGCTCGATAATCTTTGTAGGCCGGGGCAAGTGCAGACGTTTTAACTCGGGCGGTGGCTCTTTTGGTACTTCGACATAGAGCCTGGCCCGAGTAGCTGTGGAGCCTGCGACGTTCTGGGCTGTGCACTGATACCATGCCGCATCCGACGCCTTGGCTCGCGGAATGTCCAGCGTCGAGGCCCCACCATCGGTATTAATTCGTAATTCTGGATTGGGTATTATCGGAACGCCGTCCTTCTGCCATGTGATTCGTGGTGTAGGTGTACCAACTGCACGGGCGTTTAAAATTACAGGTTCACCTTCACGTACACTCAAGGTGCTGAACCTTTCCACAAACTTTGGCGCAACTACCTGTTCCTTCTCGATGACGTTTAATCTGCATTGGAAAGATGTTTCACCACTCTTGTTGCGCGCTACGCAGGTGACTACACCACTATCACTGAGTTCGACGTTTGTAATCATAAGTGCATGATTACCTGACTCGTTTACTAATATCTTATGATTATAATCGTCTCGTATTTGTCTATCGTTAATGAACCACGTGACTTCTGGGTAAGGCCTGCCAGTGACGCGGCAATCGAATCGCGTCATTTTTCCCTCTGTAACATCGCGGTCTTGGCAGACTCTTACAAATTGCGGAGCGAGAGCTTTTTCACTTATTTCTACTCTTTCTTCAAATCCTGTTTGTTGAGTGTCCATGATGTATTGTGATCTCTGATCTTGCACATAAGTCTCTTGAGGAGATTCAACGGCGAGGTATGCAGACGTTACAATGCAACCATTTGGATTTTCAGCTAATAAAGTGTAATGGCCTGAGTCAGACTTCTGTGTGTTTCTTACCCTAAGAGTTGTATGATTTTGTGTAGTAACAATTTCATGTTTGCTGGAGTTCACTATCCGTTGGCCATTTTTGAACCAAGTCACACGCGGCCGCGGGTTACCTGAAAGTTGTACCTGGAACTGAGCATCTGCACCCTCCTGTAACTTGGAATTCCTTGGTTTTTGTGCAATTTTAGGTGGAGATACTGGTCCAAGCGTTTTGTCAACCTCCGTGCTGATGTGAATATCACTTTCATTAACATATCTCTTAGTGATAGTTTCTCTGAATGATACTTCTCTCAAAAGTCTGTACTCAAAGGTGTCTACTTTGAAATCTTCTGTGGATGAATAGTCAGTGCCGTTGGTGTAAGAGACTTTCTGTGTTTGTCTGGACTGTTCTGTGGAGTACCCCTGTGTACCATAGGATTTGTGTTCCACGCTCTCACTGACGTGTCTATAGCTTTGTTGTTGCGAGCTCTGATGTGCGGGCACCGGGACACCTTCGGGCTGAATATACACGGAACAAATAGCTTCGCCATATTGGTTGCGAGCCGTGCATGTATATTCGCCTTCATCCCCTGGGCCTATCTGCTTAATTAATAAAGACACGTCGCCGGTTTGTTCGTTGTAGCTCATACTATACTTATTGCACTCTACCAGGGGTGCTTTCTTTCTTGTCCACGATACAACAGGAGTAGGATTGCCTCTAAGTTTTCCTTCGAATTTTGCATTTCCTCCTTGCGCAAATCTAGCATTTTTGAAGATTTGCTCAAAGATTGGAGGAGAAGGGTCACCAGGCCTGCCTAGTGTGACAGGCAAGCGGTCGCCAGCAGATTCAACTGTAACAATAGAAATAATTACTAATTAATTTTCAATTTAACTTAGTAATTATAAGTGTAAGTGAGTTAAATACACAATAATAAAAAGAAAAAGTTGTATTTCGCTCGATGCAAACATCGGTTAGTGCTATTGTAAATTATTTTCTAATGAAAGCCGAAATAGGCAAATCTTGATTAAGCTGATGAAATAGGTTATCTTTTACAATAAATATTACAATTTGCTCCTATCTACATATAATCAACGCGGGGAACCGATAGGATTCTTTGGTGCCATTATTCACTGGCATTGACATTCGCAAATTAATATCTTGATACGTTTAAGTACCTGTTTGACCATCTTCATATAGACTCCCCATAAATGTAGTTATTTAGTTGTAATTCAAAATTTATAATTAATAGGCTTTACATATAGGTATGTGTACTTGGAATATATTTATTTGTTATTTTAGTAGTATTCTATAGTCAAACAAAGTTACATAATTATCAGTTTGTTTAAATTATTAAATTATAGGTATATTTAAAGCATCGGGATCAGGTAGGTCCTTTTCAGTATTTTCTAAACAAAACTTGTTCTTATTTGGCTTGACAAATAATAAACATAAAATGAGTATCGCAAGCGTAAAAATATTCAATGCAATTTTATTTTTTATTACTTAATAACATTAACGGAAAGTGTTTATAAAAGGAACAATGTGCAAACAGGACAAAATTTATTTATTTATGTATGAAAGTAGTCCATGTTCGTAAATAGTCGTGTTGTAAATATGAATAGTTCCTGGAACGCGCGCACATTGGTATTCCAGCTCTCTGTTCGAATTGGAAGCGCATGACTCACGGTTGTGACGAGGCGAGCGAGCTCTTTTCGCGCGTCTATTTTAGTATCCACCACTGGGATCTTGTTACGATCACCATTTTAGTGGACTCTTTCGCTTTCTTATATATTCGAAAGATCGTTAAAATCAAAAATAAATCCCACTACTGGCTTAAGATATCAACTTTTAAAATTAAATTAACTCTCGATGTATAGCGAATACTATTCTCTACATTTTAAAGTAGATACATACCTAGGTATAGACTAGGAAATAGTTTAGTTTCGAAATTAATAAGGAGGTATTAGGTATCTACTTTTTGCTTATAGGCATTAAATACATCGCAACATAAAAATAATAAACCTACTTTTTAAAGTACTTAATAGTTTTCCAAATTTTTATAATAGGTACTATTTTCATTGTTACCTAGGTATGTTCTTCGAATATATTTCTTTCCTTAATAGCTACAGAGATTGAGATTCCTTGAGAACTATTGAGATTACATAATGCTCAATTTCATGAATCATTAAAATTATTGATATCTCAAAAAAAATAAAAAGAAAGGTTATTGAAACTATTCATTTCAATATTACCATGGAGTTCTTTTTACAAAACGTTCAGATTTTTATTTGGAACTTTTTATTATTCATTTATTTATTGTTGTTTACTGTGGTATGTTTTGTTTGGTACTTAAAAGGTTCAATCGCGAATGGACAGCGGTACGCGATGAAGTCATGGAACTGAGGACCGGTTCTGCGTTGCTGGTGTTGTCGTTATGTCAAGCAGGCAATGTGCCGGCCGTGAGGCTCGTTTCCATTGTATACCTGCCCGATTTATTTACGACAAATAAACAGTAAGTAAATTCTAATTTGGTTCACGATGCCATACATTCACTACAAAACTATGTTATTTACTAACTACTCTCGCGCGGTTTCACCCGCTGCTCAGCTTCATTTGATCGTAGCGTGATATTTTATAGCTTTTAGCACTCAGGAACGTAGTAGCTATCTATCAGTGCAAGAACTTTGGCAATTCGACCAGCGGTTCCAAAGATTACTCCCTACATACAAACTTACAAATTTTACCTCTTTATAATATTAGTATAGATTTTAAGTGTAAGAAAAGTGTAATTTTTTTATTCATTAGCTTAACAAGATAAATGTACTTATAAACCAAGGTACCATTCAGCGACATCCATATGGTATGAAAACGAGTGACATCGTTAACACAAGGCAACTAACTATTCAAGGTTTACTTTATAGGTCAAGGTCACAGGGCTTACAAACATGTTATTTAAAAAAATATATGTCATACTACGCAACGTAAATTCATATTTAGTTAGTTTTCAAAATATACAAAACATATCTGGATTTAGAAAATTTTCCATTTCATGTACCTACGCAAGTTTATTGTATGTGTAACAGAATATGTTTTGGTATTATGCAAATAATTATCGTAGCCGGGACCGAATTGGCAACCCACCAACTTTTACGATTGGATAGCACTGAGCCACAAATCATTTATATGAATTGTATAAATCGCTTACGTTCGAAGTAATCGAAGAATGAATAAGTAGCTAGTCGAGTTACAATATGTCTATCTAATCAAGTTGTAGTTGACTGAATTTACACATATTCTGGTATACATTTCTTATAGAAAATACACAAAATATCCATTAAATACTTATAATATTACATTCGCCGTTTCGCTGTGCTGTGTAATCTTACAAACTATTGGAAACTTCAATAACAGCAAGCCAGTTAGTATCTGTTTATGAAAGAAAAGGTATCTAAGTAATCTCTTTACTTTTCCTATTTATTTACTTATTATTTGAATTCATAGAACATTATTTTCCTCTTTTAGGAATGTAGATATCTGCTTGACTGGATATAAGAAATCTAATGCGTAGGTAAACTTCAGAGAGTAGGAATCTTTTATTCTAGGATCTAACCATATCAATAATTATGATTTTCTATAAGGGGAAATATCTATTACAAGATATTCCTATAAGAGGAAAGAGAGGAAACTTATAGAGAGATTGGTTTTTGACGTTAAAAAATATTCACGCGATACATTCAAACATATTAACGTTATTTATAAATAGAGCATGTGTTACATAATTTTTGTTTGTAGGGTAACGACGGAGGGGGTGAAACAGGCTCTTATTAAATTAAATTTCCACTTTGTGGTAGGGCCAAGCTTCGGCACGAAAGGGTCGGCTCGACCAGAGTGATAAAACGGTCTCACAGAAAACCGGCGTGAAACAAATACAGCGTTGCGTTTCACCATGTGAGTGAGGTTACTGGAGGCCCAGTCTCCCTCCATCCCTTCCCAATTCTTAAATATGCGAAACCCTTATCCCTAAAAGGCCGGCAACGTACTCGTAACTCCTTTGGTGTTGCGGGAGTCCATGATTATAACATATTCCATAAAAAAGATCTAGAGATTTAGGATAAAATGTAAATAATTTCGGTCATAAGTTGTAAGATCGCGTTATTGTTCACATCTCGTCCTAAAGCGGCACACAGTCGCCCGCAATCGGACCACAGTCAAACCTGACCCAGTGCGCACCATATGGCCACTGGCCCTCGTTATGAATCATACATGTACTCGGCGAACGAGACATACTTTAAATTAGCTTTATTACTTACTCGCGCCTTTCTACGAAACTATGTACTGTAAAACATGATCTATTGCAATAAGCATAAATGTCATAATGTAATTAATAAATTTTAGGCAGAGATCGCTATTCCAAGTGTGAGTTTTACACCTTCATATAAGTTTTAAATAGACTTTGTGGTACATACTTTAGGTAAATTTGTTCTATGTTATTTTCTATACTTCATGGCGGCTGTTCAGACATACATTATGTGTTAGAAGTCCTAAAGCTTCATTTTCTTTTTATTTTTGTAATAATTAATGCTTGCGACTTATGAAGGTGAGACATATCGAACAAAAACTCTGTATGGAATAAAACTCATACTAGAATACTTTCTCGTTTCTGATATTCTAAATGATACTGAACTTTACGTTAGCATGCGACTAGACCACAGCCGGCACAGTATTTTACTAAATAAATATTGTTTATATACGTGTGTAATACAAGCAGAAACAAAATTACAAATAATAATAGTCTTTCCCTAACTAGAAACACTAGCCCATCACTGCATCAACTTTTTACGCGTATTATTAATTCCAGCATTTTTTTTATTTCATGTTTTTCTACAGCTATCTCGGGCAACTATCAAAGTTATTACAGCCGATATAATTGCCTGCCCCGCTACTTGGCGCGCGTAAAAGAAATTGCGGACCGCTTCTTAATACCAATTAATTTTACCATTTTTATTTATACCTCTTGACTGCCTTGTAACTGGCCTTTTTAACGTTCACTTGTAAACATCGTTTTGTACAAAGTATCTTATTAATTTTATTAAAATAATATATACAAGAGTATAACTAACGTATTATCTTAATACAAAGGAATTGAATTATGATTTTAATTAAGTACTTGGGTTTTTCGTGAAACCACGTAAAATACTACTCGTGGTTTTTTTTCCCGATTGTATATTAATTCATCAAGCCCCAAACGAACGCCAGCGTTCTTTTATTGTGTCTCGAATTACGATGGAAAGGTTAAGGAACTTACAAAAAAATACAGTCCTCGACACTAATTACTAAAATACGTTTTATTTTGTATATTATACTATCCGATTCTTGAACAACGAATGCGTGTACATCTGTAGATTACCTACTAATGAATCTAACGCAGATTAATTATAACGAAGAGACGTCGACGATTAACTGTTAATTGACTAATGAATTTAACTACAGTGTGAGTATTCAGTTCTTTTAACTATCTAGTTTCATTGCTTGAAATCTAACTGAGGAGGGAAATGTTAATATTAAGCGTGAAAGGGATTTCACGACCTTCAAATAATTAACAGATAAACTTATGATATTACTTAGTTCATACAAAATTTATCTGGTATACAGATATTGTGTAACAGTTAGCAAGAGTCATTTGCTGAGAACAGTCATACAAAATCCAAAGATGTTCTATTTAGTTTTTTTTTAATCATACAACATAAGCTTCTTTCAAATCATTGACACTACACGAATAACTTTAGTGCGACTGATTGGCTTTTGTTTTTTTAACTATTTAGGTATATTTTTTTCATTACTCTGACCGTCGAACTCAACGGCTGTGCTTAACAAGCACACGACTATACCTAGATTTAAAAAAAAACTATTTTAAAAACTGCTTTGAAATAGTGTGACGTTGTTAAAGTTGGAAGGCAAAGTACAGATCTAGGTTTAAACCTCTTACTAATAAAGATATGCTGGGTCATTGCGATACGTGTCTTTTTACGCGTGCCAGTACCAGTATAAATACTTGTGCAGCTAGCTGGTGACATACTCATGTTTATCTATATACTAATATTATAAAGAGTTAAAAATTGTAAGTTTGTATGTAGGGGGTAATCTTTGGAACCGCTGGTCCGATCGCCAAAATTCTTTACCCGATAGATAGCTACAATATTCCTGTGTGCTATATGCTATAAAACATCACGCTACGATTAAATGGAGCCAAGCAGCGGGTGAAACCGCGCGAGAGGAGCGATTATTCTATAACTTTGTACTCAACCATTAAATAACTTAGTTTGAGGTAACCCTAAACGAAGCAATTCACGTTACGTAAACCTGGCGTGATAACTAAATATTATGTACATCCGAAACACAATATTCAGCACTTTTATTAGAAACCTTGCACTATTCTTATGAATAAAAACTATCTATCTCTTTTTTGTCCAGACTCGAGATGGATTGAATGTAACTATGATATTAGTCTTGTTCATATAAAAGGTAAGGTTTATTCCAAATGTATTTTTAATTAGCTTTAGCTTTAACAAATCGGCATAAAAAGGATGTCCGTTAAATACTTAAGAACTATGATACCAACTCGTAGTTAGTTAAAAGTTTCACAAGAGATAGGTTATCTATTAATTAAAATTAAAATAATGTGTGGTTTCCGAGCTACAAGAAAACACCAGGGAATCCCAGAATGGATTTCAACGTATTATTTATTTATTTTACGAACCTGTATAATTATTTTTTTAAATAAAGTGTAGATAATTTTTCTCGACTACATATTATACAATTCTATGAAATAGAAAGATAGGATAAAAAAGAAGGTTTAATAAATGAAATATAATGTACTTAGGTATTTCAAAAACACCCTGTACCAGTTCATTTTATGTTTCTTTTTTGATATAATTTCTTTTATTAGGATAATCATGATGTTATGTATTAGGTACTTATACGAATAATTAATACAACAAATAAACATGATTGGTCATCATACTGACAGCTAATTATAAGTTGATATAGATACATAGGTAGGTATGCATGAATCAAGTAAGTTACAATGAACATGTATCTCGTATAATTAAAAAAAAAAACTTCATAGAGATCTTCAAAGCTTAACAGTTTGGCTATTTAAGCCGTCATCAATTATAATACAATCGTTAAAAATAACGCTTCAAGTAACTCTATAGGCAAATCATTACGGACAGAGCGAAAGTGGCTCCACTGACCATGATTTTAACTGTTCTCTCAGATTATAAATTTGGAGATAAGAATAGTTGGTAAAAGTAAGTGCGCTATGAACACTGTTGCTGTTGTCTCGTCCGTGTTATAAATATATTATTTGCGAACGGTGAACTCGACACAAAGCGTAATTTCATTATCTTGACCACGAAGTGTGTGAGCCCGAGCTTTCGAATACTTTACGATTCGTGACTTATCTGCATGTCAACTAACATCCGTGTCTCCATAATAATTGTTAGTCAGAAAATTCACGGCATATCATACTATGAAGCGATCGCATTGTATTGGACAATGACCATTTGAGCAAAAAGTCTTTTCTAATGCTTTGTTAGTGAATCAGCTGTTCAAAGAAGTATTCAACGTGAATAATTTCTTATCTATCTTTAGTTCCCAGCCGTGGAGTTGGCGTGGTCGAAAGTTTTAACTTGCGCTTTCGTTGTGAAATTTAAATCACTGTACCACTCCCGGACTGGAAATTGAAGACAGTGATCTACGCGAATATTATTTTCTCATTAACATAATAAGTTTTTCTCGAGATACATTTTAATGATTTGTTTCTATCATTGATGTCTATACTTACATTGATTCATATTGATGTTTAGGTTCGAATGGAACTTAGTGCACTATTTGTTGTTTCGATTACTTTATTTTCGAATATGTAATGAAAACTGAAATGTATCAACACCACTATAAACAAACGGCTGTGCTTAGTCAAGGTAATCTTGCGAATAATTTTTTGTTTTAGTTGCGTATAATTTTTGTTGTGGAGTAATGAGCAGGCTGCAGGCACCGCGACGCGCTACAGTTAACGTGTTACGTTATAATGGATGGTGAGCACGTTCCAGCTACGCGCTAGACGGAACACGCCAACACATCGAGATGATCATCTAGCTGTGGCGCCGACCGTTGGCCGACAAGCGCACTTTTATAATCTCTATCTAGTCCGGTGGGATGTACCATGTACCGAATGAACGGACCTAGCGTGCATACAGCAACGCATTTCTCTGCAACCTGTACCGGCTATATTTTATTATCCCAACGGCATACGTCATATTGACATAGCTACAAATGAAATAATCGATTGCATCCATTCACCCATCGTAAACATGCTATGTTGATTGTTCAATGTAAAAAGTGAATGTGATTCACGAAGATATGTATTTTATATACCGTTTCTATTGAACGTCGATCGCGAAGAAAGAGTGAAAACGTTGCTTGATGGCATTTTACCGGCGTTTTTCACGTCATACTCTAATGATGCTATTATTCTATAGTTCTCAGTCATACGACGAAATAGAAAACCGATAATTAAACTGATCTTAGCAAAAACTAGATGCGCCACGCCCTGTTACGTCTGCTGCACTCGTTTATGTAGAGTACGGTCTTATTATGGGTCGAGGAGAATTGGTTCTTTATTTAAGTTTTATTCTCACTCGACGTTTAACTAATAAGTAGGTTGGTATTTGGTGTAAAATATTGAACAGTGATTCGGAAATGTAAATTATATTTATTGTTTATAATTTACAGTTACTTATATGTATATTTTTACCGTTTATAGTTTGAGACATTGTCAACTGTTTAATGTGATGATATTGTATGATAAAACTTCAACTTTTTCACGTGTGAGACACGCACGTGTGTATGTGATTGCATGTGTGTGCCGTATCGTGCCGCACTCACTGTTACACTTTTACATAAATAATTAAAGCTAAACACGGCGCTCAGTTTGAACAACTGTCGATGACAAATGTCTCCTCGTTACATCAATACAATATCGTGGCATTATAACAATTACCTATTTCTTACAGAAGTACATGATTACAACTACATATCAACATTTCTAAAATCAAATGAAAAGTAATCGCTGACAAAATGTAGCGAAAATTGTAAAATAAAAAAAATTGTAAGTTTGCCAATTTTCGAGAAAAAATACAAAGATTCTCTCTCCGACATATCGCGCGATAAAAAATGTTAAGCTGTTTGATTGTAATCAAATATCAAGATGAGCTGTTTTCATTTATATTTTTGGAAGTCTCGAAATATCAGATTAACGTCCAGGAGTATTTGCGTCACATAAACATGTTGATCTCAATCCAGACATCGAATAAAAATCCGTTTAGTACCAAATTGCAACTTACAAAATATGTGTTAGTGTCAGGCTGTGTGTACATTACGTGTATTAGGGTTTGATTACAATTGTTCAACTTATGTTAGAGGTTAAAGAAGCCGTATTGGTAAAAAGTAATCCTCGAATGGAAACATATTTGTTCAGATTCCATATAAGGATCAGACTTTGCTCCTTATACGTAAACAAGTTCTTAATGCTAAAACAAGTTCGCAATGCAACCGTGATGGACAGACGAGCGAACTCACGATCTGGTGCCAGTTCAATGTTTTCAATTTACTAAATATGCTTGGCTAATTTCACTGAGGCTTTACATTATCAGTTGTGAATTCACCTGTCATTCTTCAAGTTCAGATATAGACAATTCGCTGCTTTTGTTTGGCACATTTGGCTGAGATAAAACATACATTTTCATGAGGCATAAATGGGTCATATGGTATAACTGGGACTCCCGACCAGCGAGCCGTCTCGCTAGGCGACCCGCTTGCGAGTGTCTTTAGTTTCTTCCTGGTGCGTAACTTTATTTGTGCATAGCGCTTTTCCACCGCGAGCGAGATAGGACGGCTATTCTGGGGCGCATGCGTGGGCGCGCGCGAGCAGCCTCGCGCCCGCCGCGCTCCCCACAATCACAGTACAATCAATCATGATGAATTTCAGGATAATGACATTAAAATATTCGCATTAGCAGTGATAAACGTTAGTTAGTCTTAATTTAAAAGCTCAGTAAGTACAATGCTGTTAGCATGACATTGTGTGAGGGTAAGAGTGTTGTGGATAGTACAAGAGAGGAGACGAACCTTGCTGCGTGAGCATCTGCCGCGTGTAGTGCTGTTCGGTGCGCTGCACGCGCTCCTGCTGCTGCACGACTTGCTCGCGCCGCTCAGAGTGCTGCTGCACGCGCTGCTCCGATCGCTGTTCCGACCACCTCGACTGCTTCTCCATTTTGCCGCCACTGCAGCACAACGCACAAAAAACTCTCACTCGACGCTACTAGTCCTTATTGTACAACAATCCTCGTTTCGGCGCTCGTGTATTAAGAAATAAATACGCCACTGCGAAAAACTTATACTAGTACACGGGTTCATTTAGCAGAAGTCAAGTCATTATAACCCAAGTCCAACAACCAAGACGTCGGTCGATTGCGAATAGTTAGCGGATAGTGCGGTGTATGAGAAACGCGCGCTGCGCCGGCGGCGCTGCGAGGGCGGCGGCGGGGGGCGGCTCGACCGAAATACGACGGGTTATTTCGAGCCGAGCGCACTCCCGCATGCCTCCTCCACGCGCCCCACTCCCGCGCATGCCAGCGCTGGGCGCCGCCGTCGTCGGGCCCCCCTCCCTCCCTAGTTTTGCAATGCTAAACAACCCAACAAAACAATGCACTATCCGATCAAAACATTATTTCTAATACAAAGGTCCTATCTCCTAGAAATTAATTCTTCAAACTTTAATTATTACATTTTGTAGAAAAATTGACAAACAGGTAATAATGCTGTGAAAAGTAGGAATTAAGATAAGATTTTTTAGTTTGAAATTATTACAGATTTTACTTAAATTCGGCTAACATATATGCTACTAGTTATATTTATTACATAGTGGTAATTGTTTAGAGCAATTATAATTATATAGCTATTGTTTTGTTAGGATAAGTTGGGAAAGGAATTTGGCTTCGAATATAAAGCCGAAGAGATGAGAAGATATCCATCAAATGAAAATTATAATCAATAAACGTGGAACCAACTGGAAAATGAAACTCCCGTTGCCCTGACTTGGGGCTTGCTTCAGCTAGATAACGACGAGGTCTGGGTTTAGTTACCCTACGGGTAGTGGGGGATTGGGTTCATTACCCAATGTACTTAATTTGAAAAGGTTTCAAAAATGTGTGAGGGATTTCAAAAATGGAAGTATTTAAACTTTCCATACCTACTTATATCTACTCATTACATATAGGTCCAATTATAAGTGGTACCGAATGCACCAAAAAATTTTCGTACTAAATGTTACAAAAACGAGACAGACCAAAAATATAAAAACTGACTTTCATAGCAAAACTCTTTTACGTCATAATATTTTTGTGCTAAATCCAAACTAATATTATTTATAAATGTAAAAGTAACTCTGTCTGTCTGTATTTTCTTCACGCCTAAACTACTGAACCGATTTCTGTGAATTTAGGTACAGACATAATTTGGAACTCGAGAAAGGACATACTTATATGTAGGATAGTTTTTATACTAAAAATCTGCAGGAAGTCACCATAGGCCCGTGGGCTTATCGTAGCTTTAGCGTGCCGGCTGGAATGGTCGGCCAAACTCAGCTGTGACGACGAGCCTTCAAACTTCAAACCACCTGCTCGTCAGCACTAGAGACACACTACCCCTCCGAATAAATTAAAGTCTAGGACTTAAATTTAGGAGTAGGACAGACAGACTGTAAAGTTTGTTTTGCAGCAATTCGTTTCTGTCACAATTTTTTTCATTTACTTATATTATTATATTATTGAATGCAAATAGCAAAAAGGGCGTCGATCATAAGTTACCTACATATCGATAACATCCAAGGAATTAAAAAAAACAAAATCTGTTCTTAATGGTGCCGTTATATTGCTTTAAGATAGATCTCTGATACAAAAACACAACGACAAAACTGTTCTAGAAAAGGTCGGTAGCAGAGACTTAGCTCTTAGCTTCGCGGGGGGCACTCCCGTGTTCTTAATTTAAATTTACCATCATGTAGGTAAACACGTTACGTAAATATTTGATTAAAATTTTTATATTATTTTTAATCTTTTTTAGCATTGTCTTCGGATCCGTAGAATAGAATGTTCTACAAAACTATGTAATCTTGGATTTAAAACAAATGTACACAATATGTAAAAAACAGCATATGTAAGATTTTGTTTCGCAAGGCTGTCCAGTTCAACGTGTAATATTTAAAGCTAGAATACCTAAGCTGTTATACAATTTTTCAAAGATTCTATTGAAAACTATGAGTAACAAAAATCTCTTTTATTTTAGAAAATGTGTCTATTCATCAAAAAGTTGCTTGTTTTAATAAAGCAACTTCACCACCTCAACACACAACTTTAAAACCTTACTTGTCACATTTGGCACGATAAGGGACAATACCAATATCTAAGGCCCAATCCTTCCCCTCCCCCATTCCTAAATCTCCCAAATCCCTAATCCCCAAAAGGTCGGCAACGCACTCGTAACTCCTCGGTTGCGATTGTCCATAAGGGCGGCGCTGATAGCTTCTCATCAGGTATCTATCACATAAAAAAGTCTAAGGTATTTAGGGAACACGATATTTTTTACATACTTTTATTTTCAAGTTATTTCATTAAGTACTTTTGGAAAATCACATGTCATGCATTCTTCTATTAAAAATGAATTGTATTTTTTTATACTTAGTCCATTGATTACCCCGAGTTTGGTGGACAATCTGCGTGATTATTTTTTCTTTGGTAGGATATAATTTCAACTTGGTATAATTGTCCCACCTTGTCAAAATCTAAATTATTTATTATGTTTTCGGCTTACTCACGTAATAATTTGACGAGATACTCGACTAGTTGTCAAAATCTGATGATCATGGATTCGTGGGCGCCCTCATATTATAAACACACTAGCTATTGTCGCGCGGTTTCACTCGCTGCTCGGCTATATTTGATTGTATTGTGATGTTTTATAGCCTAGAGCACTCGGGAACATTGTAGCTATCAATAAGTGAAAGCATTTCGGGAATCAGTTCAGTGGTTCGACATTACCCCTTACATACAAACTTACAAATTTTATCTCTTTATAATATTAGTATAGTTATAGGCACATATGTACAATAATGTTTACTAAATAATTTACAAGTAAAACTTTAAAACATTTTTTTTAAGAGTAACTTTGGATTTTCTTCTGTATTGTTCTTCTCTATTCAAATCTACTATTTGAAACGAGCACCTAGCTTCACTGACGAACAGACTGACAGGTGCTTTTGAAACGTTTATATAGAATAGTAGTGTTGCCCAAATGCAAGAACAAGACGAGACTTAGCCAGTCTTGGTCTTGGTCTTGCGCCAATACACCTGGTCTTGGTCTTGGTCTTGGTCTTGCGCTCCCAGTCTTGGTCTTGGTCTTGGTCTTGCGCTCCCAGTCTTGGTCTTGGTCTTGGTCTTGCAGCAAGAGTCTTGCAAGTCTTGCAATTACCTATTAGTGTATTACTATTTATTAAAGTTTACTTTAAATCTTAGAAAAACGTATTAGAATTGGAACATTGTGAGTTTGAATTAACATAGCCATAGTAAAGATCAAGCAGATTAATAAATAACTGAAGATTTGATAAGAACTTCGAAAAATCAACTGACCTATATGTTTTTTTCAATGAAAGTAACTGTTTCTTAAAACATTTATGATTTATAAGCTTACATTTGCTAAAACATGTAAAAAAACAAATTAAGTACAATAACTTGACTGTAATTGAAAATTATTTATTCTTTGGAACAACTGTAGGTACTCTTATAATTCGAAGTTATTTTGCATGAGTATACCTACGCCCTATGGCGGCAATCAAATAGTGTCAAATGTTATGATTTCGGCGTGGCGGCAACGATTGTTTTAGATTTCAAAAGAAGCCGCCGGCGCGTGTATCATAACCATGTACTTCCGAAAAGCGGCAAATTTCTTTGAGAAGTACAAAACTTTTGATGCCGCATTATCAAAGTGCCGATGGTTAAAACATAACTATGCATGCACTCAGTTTGATTTTAATAGATATATTTTTATTCGTTATGTTCATGGTATTAGTCGTAATGCGCATAGGTCCAGTTTTTCATATTCTTTGATACAGTTTTTTGCGTCTCATAGAATTCCTAAGCGTACCTACCTATACACTGAACTGTTACACCTAACTACTCAGTGAAATAGCGCTAAGTCCTAGCTGCAAGACGCAAGAGTCTTGCAGACTAAGTCTTGTTCTTGCGCAAGTCTTGCACGGTCAGTCTTGGTCTTGGTCTTGCTAAAAATACGCGGTCTTGTTCTTGGTCTTGGTCTTGCAAAAACGCAAGAACAAGACCAAGACTGCAAGACCAAGACTGAATTTGGGCAACACTATAGAATAGTAGTAATTAATTCTATTTAAACGTTTCAAAAGTACCTATTTATGGTTTAGTTGGAATAAATTTTGACTTTGACTTTGATTTAACACTACGAGTCATTGTTCAAGCTGATATGAACTGTGCTAGCAATAAGCTAAATGCCTCTAAGCCGTAACAGACAGGTGACGTCACACACGTGACCACTGCATTAATTTCAGCAAACTAATTGCGATAGAATTCATTCAACCACGAGGTAATGTAACATGATAATCCTGGATGACATATTGCTATTCAAATTTCAGTTAATATGAAGGTTCATAACGTTGTTTGAACTATAAATTAACTAAAAATTTAATCATAATTGAATTTTTAATTTTTTTTCGGTTAACATTTTAATCATGGTATTTAGAGACTTAAGGTGCACAAACGGCGTTCGCTTGGTGTCTGGCGGACTAATATAAGAATATTGACATTTTTAAGTGTGGGAGCGCTATGCCTCGGCACAAATGGGTCGCCTCGACCGGAGGGATACCACGGCGTCACAGAAAACCGGCGTGAAATAACTACAGTATTGTGTGTCGCCGTGTGAGTGAGGTGACCGGATGCCGAATTATACCCTACCCCAATCCCTCTCCATTCCTAAAATCTCCAAATCCCTAACCCGCAAAAGGTCGGCAACGCACTCGTAACTCCTCCGTCGTTATAAGTGTTCATGGGCGACGCTGATTACTTAACATCAGGTAATGCGTTTGCTCTTTAGCCGAACTGTAACATAAAAATAATTGTGTGAAGTTCGGCCAGGCGTAGTATTGTAATTATAAATTCATAAGTATTACTACCTACCCAAAAGCTATGCAGAAACCACTGGAAGTATTTTCTAATACTTTATTTTCTTCACTCACTGTCATAATGTATACACACTTATATCGTCAAACATTTGCTCCGATTATGTGCAGACCGTAAGTAGGTCTTTATATCTTTTTTATTATAAGCATTTTAATGTAGTACCTTAATTTTGTTTAATGTACTTTAGAACACACATGTGTAATTTATTCCACCGTTAGAAAGCATATTCATCTGAGCACAAAAGAAACCACAAAACTGTCAACTGGTATTGCCATTCGTACCTCTGTCGCCTCGCGCTGCGGTCAAACTCAACCGATTGGAAGGATTGCTGTGGTGACAGCAACGGATATATACTATTGAATATACTTCT